TATTCAGCCTCAAGTAAATGTAATGGTTTCTTCACTAGACTCTGAACTAGTTATTTGAATTGGTTCAGGACCTGGTTGAGACTCCTCATACAGAAGTTGCATACTCACACTTTTACACTAGGAAAATACAATATACATGTAGGATGTTGTCTGAGAGGTGGTAGCAGCACAGCAAATCTTACCATGGGGCAACAAAGGGTGGGGTTAGGGGGCGGGGGGTTAAGAGTTATGATTGGATTAATGGGGTATTTATTTTAAATATATTATTAATCAAAATAAAATTAACTCTGCCGTTTGCATCATAGGGGAGTATTGATCAATAATTATCTTTACATGCCAGACTGGTGTTGGATTGCCGCTGTGCTCGTCTGCCCTTGGACGACAGTCCTTATTTGGTCAAGAGACTGGCATTACCAATGGGAAGGGGGCTTCCAGTGATGACCAGTCACATGACTAATTAGCTGATTGGTTTGTGATTGTAGTGCGCTCACTTCAATTAGAAAATTTAGCGTGGTTGAACGCAGCAAAGTTTCATGCAGAAACTGATTTTTTATTCCCACCCACCGCACCACTTTGTTTATTGCATGACGATGATGTGTTTCTTTTTTACAAGTAATTTGTAGTTTTGTTTGTTATGAGTACATGTACCACAGTTTTGCAGAGCTATGTAATTTTGTCTTTGGCTATATTTGCCAATTATGTTTGCATCTAATTGGAATTATAATTAAACTGTGGATTTACTTGGCATTACAGGCCAATTTCACTAGTTACATGTATACTTTGCAAAATAATGGAGCATATATAATATATATTTATCATAGCTAGTCAAATAATGGAACATCTTGATAAAAAAAAACAATATATTATATGATCTACAACATGGCTTTCGATCTAAGGGAGCTACCATTTGATTTTATGGGGGGCTAGGATGACAAATTTTGTCCTGCATTTTTTTTTAGTTGTAATCTCTGTCCTGCATTTTTTTTTAGTTGTAATCTCTGTCCTGCATTTTTATTTTTCACTCTATTTGGTCTAGCCTTTTTTTTTTATTAGTTTATCCTGACTTTTTTTACCCAAATTGGTTTCCGTTCTCTAACTTGAGTTTGCCTCAACCAAATGTTATGAAACCTATACACAATATTCATTACCACAAAACCAAGATCAAGTACAATTTTTTTGTTACCGTTTTCTAACTTTAGTTTGCCTCAATCAAATGTTATGAAACTTATACACAATGCTTATTACTACATAATACAGATTAAGTATGAAATTAAGTGGCAACACTTTTACCATTCTTGAGTTATGTCCCTTTATAAACATAGAAATTGCTGAATTTTTCATTTTCTTTCTCTAACTTTAGTTTGTCTCAACCAAATGTTATAAAACTTATACACAACTGTTCTAGAGTTATGTGTGTTTACAAATAGAAAAATTGTTGAATTTTTAGTTTCTGTTCTCTACTTAAGTTATCCTCAACTAAATGTTATGAGACGTACACACAATGCTTATTACCACAAAACTCAGATCAAGTTCAAATTTGGGTAGCGTCACTTGTACCGTTCTTCAGTTATGTCCCTTTATAACTATATGATATGCAAGCGGGGGCATCATCTGTGTCCACATGTGGACACTATCCACATTTATTTTACAAAGATATGAATAAAAATATAAATCATTTGAAAGTCCCTTTATGTCTCTGATTCTCTCTTTCCCTCTTTCACTCTCTCTCTCTCTCCTTTTTCACAATCTCTTTATAGCAAAATATCTATATAGATAATGAAATAGAGAGAAAAAATTGATTTACATGTACTGTGTATATTGCATGTTGTCTGCTCGATTTACATAAATAAGTCAAACATATATATATGTTTAATACTGTATGGTTGTTGGACTTCCATTCTGGATAAATAATTTACATAGGGGCCCAAAGTTTTTCAAGTGCAAAATCTCTGTTGTATTTTCTTGCTGTATATAATTCTATATTATAAAAGTTTTTTTTATCTATTTTTCAATTCAAGTGCATTAGGAAGCCTTTTTTCTAGTTTGCATTTGTATACGTATTTTTTTGCCTCAGCCATAGCAGAGGGGGCATTAAGTTTTACCCTTGTGTGTCCGTCCGTCCGTACGTACACCTATACACAATATTCATTACCACAAAACCAAGATCAAGTACAATTTTTTTGTTGACATTCTCTAACTTTAGTTTGCCTCAACCAAATGTTATGAAACTTATCCACAATGTTTATTACCACAAAACACAGATGAAGTTTGAATATTGGTGGCGTCACTTTTACCTTTCTAGAGTTATGCCCCTTTACAAATGAAAAAAATGCTGATTTTTTTTGTTTCCGTTCTCTAACTTGAGTCTGCCTCAACCAAATGTTATGAAACTTATGCACAATGCTAATTACCACAATACACAGATCAAATTTGAATTTTGTTGGCGTCACTTTTACCGTTCTAAGAGTTATGCCCCTTTACAAATTTCAAAATTGCTGAAATATTTGTTTCTGTTCTCTAACTTTAGTTTGCCTCAATCAAGTGTTATGAAACTTATGCACAATGCTAATTACCACAAAACACAGACAAAAAGATTGAATTTTAGTGGCGTCACTTCTACTGTTCTAGAGTTATACCCCTTTAAAAATGGAAAAATTGCTGAATTTTTCGTTTCTGTTCTCTAATTTAAGTTTACGTCAACTAAATGTTATGAAACTTATAAACAATGCTTATTACCACAAAACTCAGATCAAGTTCAAATTTGGGTAGTGTCACTTTTACAGTTCTTGAGTTATGGCCCTTTATAACGTTATATGCAAGCGGGGGCATCATCTGTGTCCCATGGACACATTCCCCATTTATTTGGTATATGTGGTATAACAAAACTCCTTAACAACATCTACCCTCATAAAGCCAAGGGCCCAGACAATATCATATAAGAACATATAGCACCAATTTTAACAATAATATTTAAAAAATCGCTCGAAACTTGACAAACACTACATAGATATAGGAAGATGTGGTATGAGTGCCAATGAGACAACTCTCCATCCAAGTTACAATTTATAAAAGTAAACCATTATAGGTCAAGGTACAGCCTTCAACACGGAGCATTGGCTCACACCGAACAGCAAGCTATAAAGGGCCCCAAAAAGTTACTAGTGTAAAACCATTCAAACGGAAAAACCAACGGTCTAATCTATATAAAAACGAGAAACGAGAAACACGTTTGAACTACATAAACAGACGACAACTACTGAAATCAGATTCCTGACTTAGGACATGACTGGAACCATGCTAATGTTGAGGACATGACTGGAAGCATGCTAATGTTGAGGACAGGACTGGAAGCATGCTAATGTTGAGGACAGGACTGGAAGCATGCTAATGTTGAGGACATGACTGGAAGCATGCTAATGTTTAAGAGTGACAAACATAAAGCTGTCAGATACAGGCCAATATCATTGATTTGTATCTACTGCAAGTTAATGGAACATATTGTCTCAATACATGTATTATTAACCATCTTAAGAATAATAGCATCATGTATGATTTCTAACATGGCTTTAGACATTCACAATCATGCAAAACACAATTACTATCTTTTATTCTAGAAATATCAGCTGCAAACAACAGCAACACTCAAACTGATCTCATTATATACTTTGCTATAAACTATAAAGCATTCAATAAGGTACCACATCAAAGACTTTTCTCTGCATTGTTTTCAAATCACACTCAAACAGTTGTCATGGATGGAAAGTCATCAAACACTGTCCAAGTCACATCAAGGTTGCCTCAAGGTACTGTCGTAGGCCCAGTCTTATTTTTGGTCTATAAACATGATATAAATGACCTTTCAGGCTGCTTAAAACATAGTAAACTTAGATTATTTGCAGACAACAGTATTATATACAGGACGATCAGATCCCAAAGTGACTTCAGGCTGATCTTGATGCAGCAGCAAGGTGTGATGGCTTTTCATCTCGACAAATGCACAGTCCTATCAGTCACGCAGAAAAAAACAACCATTTAAATATAATGATAGAATCATTATTATCTGCTCAATACTGTGGTACCTTGGTATTACACTTTAATCAAATCACATGCAGTCAGGGGTAATATTAAACTAGTACAAGTATTTTTTTATTTACTGGTACAGGTAAAATATTTTGGAGGAGAGTTATATCCCTTAGACACATTCAGTATTTTTTAAAATTTAATAAGTAAAAAAATCTTCTTTTCTTGTTTTCCTAAATTTGTATGATTAGTGAAATTACTCTAAAAGCATGAATAGAGTGTTTTATTATCTGTCTAATAGTTGTCTTAGCTATTCATAAAAGTATAATTTCATTGCAGTGAAAAAAATTGCTTAAATTATTTGTAATCATGTGCTTACAATGCTACAATGCAGTTACTCTACTGCCGATTGAAAATGCAAATCTTTTTTGTTATCTTCAAAATACTACTCATTTTCAAGCCTCCAGGTAGTAGTTTTTGAAGGCCTTGCATGGTTACTTAATATCTGTGTTTTATTTGTTTACTAGTAGTTTTTGAGATAAAAGATTTATCCCTAATAAAAAAATAATTAGAAAATCATGAAGATTTTGTTTAGGCATGTTTTTACCTCCCAAAACTTGAGAGTTTAATGAATTTAAGGGGTTGTTAAAAAACATTACTTGAATGAGTAATTTTTTTAGAGAAGATTAAGGGGAGATTTTTCAAACCTTGAAAATGAAATAAAAATCTTACAAATTTACTTATCAGTAAATATTACTTACATCTTCAAGAAAATAAACATGACTTGTATAAGCATTACCCCTGACTGACATTGGGTCTTTTCTAGTTTCCCAATTTGTGAAAAAATGAACCACACTCCATACCCCTACAATTAAACCACATGTGTGAAATTGTCTCGGCATCGAAATGAGCCATCATACATCTCCAAGTGTACGATATGGACAGGACATTTTATATATTTTTAGTCTGTTCTATTGCAGGTCCATTCTGAAAGAAAAGATGTAGCTGTAGACAGTGGCTACAGTGGTGTTAGAGGGTGACACTGTAGCAAATAATAGAAACCATTATAAACAGAACAAGGATAGCGAGATAAGGAGATACTACTAAAGAAACCAACATGAGTCTAACAGTAGAAGAGTCAAACTTACTGAGATTTTACTTCCTGAATTTGAAGGTTGCTTCTAAGGCTGCCAGGGTATATTTTGATTCTATCCATCCACCAGCAGGACTTGCAGGGGAACTTACAAGAAGTTCTGTGACCTTGAAAGGGCTCCGTTTTATGACAAAACTGCAACTGAATGTTTTATATCCCAGTTCTGGTAACTTTTAGCTATGTATGTTCTTGTGATAAGGGTGAACCAGATGAGACTTAATGTTTATATTCATAAGAAAAAAACACACAAGTTCAAATGTAAGCTCAGGGGCGGATCCAGCCATTTTAAAAAGGGGGGGGGGGGGGGGTTCCAACCATATGTCCCCATTCAAATGCATTGATCGTCCAAAAAATAGGGGGGGGTTATTGTATTGTTGACGCTTTTTATCTATTTTCCACATAAAGAGATCATATTTGTATCACATTGAACATAGTGTGATATAAATAAGTGATACGAAATATATATGCTTTAATTTGGTTGGCTTTTCTTGCAACATGACATTTTCATTAGCTACTCACTAGGCCAATGATGACTTTCAAACTTCCCGACAAACTACTTTTTCAGCTTTGCGACATAGAAATGTGATATCATCAATAGCATATTAAATGTTGACACTTTCCACCTTCAAATCTTTTTTTGTCAATTTATATTTCATTGTAAACCCGTCTAAAAGCACAACAAAAATGCCTGGTCTAATGTTATCAATTGAAACAAAAAGCAGTCAGCCTCGTTTATATATTATTATTTTGAAATAAAATATATCCAAATCTCACTCGTTATGAAATTTATAACTATATTATGATATAATTTATTGCGGCAAGTAATGTTAGATCAGAAGACTTTGATACATGTATAACAATGATTATCTGCCTTTTACGGAACATGACACTAAGTGAATCTGTCCTTGTAACAGGCTGGGATAACTGACCCCGTCCAATTCTTACTCTTAAACGTATATGATATAATTATATTATGATATCTGTTACAGGCCAAACAGTTACTTCAGCAGACTTTGATACAACGTTGATAGTTTGCCTTTTACGGAACCTGCCACCACGTGAATCTTCCCCCCTTACCGGCTGGGATAATTTACCACCACCAGGTGATACCAGTACAGGTGCAGACCTTGCTAGAGTCAAATGGTACAGAAACCTGTCAGCCCATAGTAAAGACGGGATATTGTCGTCTACAGATTTCAATCAGTTCTGGGGTGATTTAGAAGGTGTAAGTATATATAGATCATGACCACAATATAATCAAATCATTTCAAATCATAGCCTTGGGCTGTTTTCTGCTCTTTGGTAGGGTTGTTGTCTCTTTGACCCAATCCCATTTCCATACTCCTTTTTATACGACCGCAAAAATTGAAAATTTTTTGGTCGTATATTGGTATGACGTTGGCGTCGTCGTCGTCGTCGTCGTCGTCGTCGTCCGGCGTCGTCTGGCGTCGTCCGAAGACACATTGGTTTTCGCACTCTAACTTTAGTTTAAGTGAATGGATCTCCATGAAATTTTACCATAAGGTTCAATACCATGAAAGGAAGGTTGGGATTGATTTTGGGGGTTATGGTACCAACAGTTAAGGAATTAGGGGCCAAAAAGGGGCCAACAATAAGCATTTTTGTAACTTCCAGACAATAACTTGTGTGTAAGTGTATGGATCTCTCTGACATTGTACCACAAGGTTCCATATCACAAAGGGAAGGCTGTAATTGATTTTGGGGGTAATTGCCTCAAAATGTTAGGAATTAGGGGCCAAAAAAGGGGCAAAAAACAAGCATTTTTCTAGTTTCATGACAATAACTTGTGTGTAAGTGTTTGGATATTTCTGAAATTGTACTACAAGGTTCCATATCACAAAGGGAAAGCTGAAATTGAGTTTGGGGGTAATTGCCCGAAACGTTTAGGAATTGGGGGCCAAAAAGGGGCCAAAAATAAGCATTTTTCTAGTTTCCAGACAATAACTTGTGTTCAAGTGTATGGATCTCTCTGAAATTGTACTGCAAGGTACCATACCACAAAGGGAAGGCTGAGATTGAGTTTGGGGGTGATGAATCATAAGGGGGTTCAAAAAATTTTGGGGGGGGATTTTTTTTTTCTTTTTTTTTTCTTTTTTTCCTTTTTTTTTTCTTTTAAAATTTTCCATTTTAAGTTGGTTATTTCTGATTTATATTTAAAAGCAAATAATAATGATATGGTAGGAGATACACACCAAACAGGATGTGTAAATTATTATATAATAAGTATTGTGCAATAGCAAGAAATTTTCAATTGCACAGTATTGCACAATAGCAAGAAATCTTCAATTGCACAGTATTGCGCAATAGCAAGAAATCTTCAATTGCACAGTATTGCGCAATAGCAAGAAATATCCAATAGCACAATATTGCGCAATAGCAAGAAATTGTCAATTGTACAGTATTGCGCAATAGCAAGAAATAATCAATTGCACAGTATTGTGCAAAAGAAGATACTTCGTATAAATTGCTTATTTCTTGATCAATTTCAATGGGGTTTTATTCTTGAATTCTTGGGGTTCTTTAATATACTGAATCTAACCGTGTATTAAGTTTTTGGATTTTGGGCCCCGTTTTTAAATTGGTCCACATTGAGGTCCAAAGGGTCCAAAATTTAACTTTGTTTGATTTCATCAAAAATTGAATTATTGGGGTTCTTTGATATGCCGAATCTAACCGTGTATTTAGATTCTTAATTTTTGGTTCTGTTTTCAAATTGGTCTACATAGAGGTCCAAAGGGTCCAAAATTAAACTTAGTTTGATTTCAACAAAAATTGAATATACGGGGTTCTTTGATATGCTGAATCTAACCATGTATTTAGATTTTTGATTATGGGCCCAGTTTTCAAGTTGGTCCAAATCGGGGTCCAAAATTCAACTTTGTTTGATTTCAACAAAAATTGAATATATGGGGTTCTTTGATATGCTGAATCTAATCATGTATTTAGATTTTTGATTATGGGCCCAGTTTTCAAGTTGGTCCAAATCGGGGTCCAAAATTAAACTTTGTTTGATTTCAACAAAAATTGAATATATGGGGTTCTTTGATATGCTGAATCTAACCATGTATTTAGATTTTTGATTGGTGGGCCCTGTTATCAACTTTGTCCACATTGAGATCAAAAGGGTCCAAAATTTAACTTTGTTTGATTTCATCAAAAATTGAATATATGGGGTTCTTTGATATGCTGAATCTAACCATGTATTTAGATTTTTGATTATGGGCCCAGTTTTCAAGTTGGTCCAAATCGGGGTCCAAAATTAAACTTTGTTTGATTTCAACAAAAATTGAATATATGGGGTTTTTTGATATGCTGAATCTAACCATGTATTTAGATTTTTGATTATGGGCCCAGTTTTCAAGTTGGTCCAAATCGGGGTCCAAAATTAAACTTTGTTTGATTTCAACAAAAATTGAATATATGGGGTCCTGTAATATGCTGAATCTAACCGTGTATTAAGTTTTTGGATTTTGGGCCCCGTTTTTAAATTGGTCCACATTGAAGTCCAAAGGGTCCAAAATTTAACTTTGTTTGATTTCATCAAAAATTGAATTATTGGGGTTCTTTGATATGCCAAATCTAACCGTGTATTTAGATTCTTAATTTTTGGTTCCGTTTTCAAATTGGTCTACATAAAGGTCCAAAGGGTCCAAAATTAAACTTAGTTTGATTTTAACAAAAATTGAATTTTTAGGGTTCTTTGATATGCTGAATCTAAACATGTATTTAGATTTTTGATTATGGGCCCAGTTTTCAAGTTGGTTCAAATCGGGGTCCAAAATTAAACTTTGTTTGATTTCAACAAAAATTGAATATATGGGGTTCTTTGATATGCTGAATCTAACCATGTATTTAGATTTTTGATTTTTGGGCCCTGTTATCATTTTTGTCCACATTGAGATCAAAAGGGTCCAAAATTAAACTTTGTTTGATTTCATCAAAAATTGAATTCTTGGGGTTCTTTGATATGCTGAATCTAACCATGTATTTAGATTTTGGATATTGGACCATAATAGGTGAATGTCCAATTTAAAATTTTTAAGTTCTTAGACCACATTCATTCTGTGTCAGAAACCTATGCTGTGTCAAATATTTAATCACAATCCAAATTCAGAGCTGTATCAAGCTTGAATGTTGTGTCCATACTTGCCCCAACTGTTCAGGGTTCGACCTCTGCGGTCGTATCAAGCTGCGCCCTGCGGAGCATTTTATTTAAAATTACTCTTAATGATAAATGTGGGCACACCTTTTTCCTAAATTTGGTACTCCCCCCACAAGAAATGCAGCTCCTGACAGAAAGGTCAAATCTTCTAATGTCTTCCTATTTCAACTTTATAATCCTATCGTTGCAAGTAATTGATAGCAGAGTTGCAACATATTGGATAATGCATCTGAGGGGGGCAGGTCTATTAATGTGTATGCCCCTCAGGGTCAAAGTCACAGCAGCAGCAGATTGAAATTTGTGTTTTTGTATATTTGTAAAGAGGGGAGAAAGATACCAGAGGGACATTCAAACTCATATGTCGAAAATAAACAGACAATGCGATGGGTAAAAAGAAAAAGACCAATAGACAAACAATAGTACACAAACCACAACATAGAAAACTAAAGACTGAGCAACACAAACCCCACCAAAAACTGGTAGGGTAATTATCATAGAATGTAATGAGGTAGAAAAATACAATAAAAAACACTGAAAATATCAATTTCGATTATCCTCCAAAGAAAAGTAGCTAAATTATTTTGATATTGGTACTCTTAAGTTACTTAACATTTGTGTGCAATAGATTTCTTTGTTTAGTTTTGAAGATAAAAGGTTGCATGTTTTGAACTTCAAAAACTTGAGAATTTAATAGGTTGTAAAAAAATAACTTTTTTTGTATTTATTAGTAAATTTTTTTAAGAAAATATAAGGGAGATTATTCAATTCTTGAAAATAAAATAAAAATCTTACAATTTTACTTAAACAAGTAAATATTACTTACATCTTCAAGTAAATAAACATTACTTGTATAAATATTATCCCTGACTGACAGGTATGCATTTAATTGTTTATCCAAGACAGCAATTTTCCTTCTGTACTGTTCCCATATGAACAAACAATAAAGGACCTAATGTTGAGCCTTGAGGACAACAACAGGCTCAGAATTATTTGACATTAAAACATGAAAACAACTTTTGAAGTGTTCTATATTGAAATTGGTTGGTAATTTTCTAAAATTTAAGTATTGATCGATCGTTAACCTTACAAATGTTTAACATAGACATAGACACCCTCCAGGTTCTTTATAATTGTCAAAATTTTATGCATATCAGTGAAATGTTTTTATGAGTATATTGATTGTAACTTTCTCCCAACAAACACTAGAATAAAGTTAAGTAGCTCTGTATTTTCCATTCATATAGGCCATTGGACGTCTTAGTGCCAAAGGCGGACTGCCAATGCTTAAAGAAGCTCAGTTGGCACAAAGTTTCTCCATTGGATCCCTTACAGATGTATTACTGGAACTTAGAAACTATGAAAAATCACAACAGGAACTGACAGAAATGATAACAAATCTTCAATCAGCAATTGACAGTCTTAGGACTAACAAAGAAGAGCATGAAAAGAGAATTCATCAGGTAAATGTTTCCCATCAAAAAGGGGAAGCTGAAACACAAAAATTGACAACTGAACCTTCTGATTACAAAGATAAATGTACAGAGAAACTTGAAGCATGTAAGAATGATATAAAAAAGAATGAAGAAATGATTAAAGAATTGCAAGACCAATCAGTTAAGAAAAAGGATAAGATAGCTGATCTTATTTCACAAATAGGCAAACTTGAAAAACATGACAAGATGTTAAAAGAACATGATGAACATTTGGCTATGCTTGATGAACAGGGGTCAAAACAAGGTGAACAGATAGCACAACAAGGTGAACAGTTGGCACAACATTGTGAACAGATGGCACATCAAAGTGAACAGATGGCACAACAAGGTGAACAGATGGCACATCAAAGTGAACAGATGGCACAACAAAGTGAACAGATGGCACAACAAAGTGAACAGATGGCACGACAAGGTGAGATAGGTTCAGTATTCAGTTGTTTTGTTCTGTAGCCATGATGCTGATGACACACCAGGTAAGGGAGCTACCATTTGATTTTTATGGAGGGGCTAGGATGAAAAATTTTGTCCTGCATTTTTTTTAGTTGTAATCTCTGTCCTGCCTATTTATTTTTCACTCTATTCGGTCCTGCCTTTTTTTTTATTAGTTTATCCAGACTTTTTTTACATAAATTGTCATCTTGCTTTTTTTTTTTGCAAAGTTGCTCAACCTGCCTTTTTTTTTACTCAAAACTTCTGTCCTGCCTTTTTTTTTAAAATTTCATCCTAGCCCCCCCCCCCCCCCATAAAAATCAAATGGTAGCTCCCTAAGATTGATTCAGTATTTGTAAAGCAAAATATTGTCCTATGAAATATTGTCCTATGAAATATTGTCCCCAAGACAATATTTTATAACTATGTATCATGAAATATTGTCCTCAGCTATGAAAAAATGTCTAGAGAAGGACAAATTTGCATTGTGAAATTTTGTAAATAGACAATATTTCACAGATGAATACTATGAAGTTTTGTCATGTTAAAGGGAGGTTATATTTTGTGTGTTATGAGGCAATATTTCATTAACAGATTGTCATTAAATTAAGTCTCATGAAGGGGAGGTTATCAACATATATCATGTTGGATAATGATATCATTAAAGTGTTTTATTTGATTGATAATAACAAATAAACACAAATTAATATTCCAGTTACTCATGTACCTCCAAAACGCTGTCACAAATAGATTTGTCCATCTAGTATTCACTAATACTATAAGTACATTCAATTTTGAACATACATATGTGATTGTCAGTTTTATTGTCGAGCCTGCGAGTTCTGTCACAGAAAGCTCCACATAGGGTTAGTGATCCGGCGGCGGCAGGGGGTGGCAGCGTTAACAAGCTTCTTAAAAGCTTAATATTTCAGATGGTAGAAGACCTGGATCCTTCATACTTTGTATATAGATGCCTTATGTTATGAAGTTTCTGTCTGTCGTATGTCCATTGTCCTTGACCTCATTTTTATGGTTCAGTGACTACTTGAAAAAAAATTTAAAATTTTTAGTATTCTTAATTTCTCTCTTATTATGAGTAATAGGATAACTATATTAGGCATGTTTTATTTGACCTTGACCTCATTTTTACGCATTGCTCAATGTGAGGTTTTTGTTTTTATGCCCCATGTAGGGGCATTATGTTTTTCGGTCTGTGCGTCCATTCGTTTGTTTGTCCGTTCATTCAGTGGTCCGTCTGTCCCGCTTCAGGTTAAAGTTTTTGGTCAAGGTAGTTTTTGATAAAGTTGAAGTCCAATCAACTTGAAACTTAGTACACATGTTCCCTATGATATGATCTTTCTAATTTTAATGCCAAATTAGAGTTTTGATCCCAGTTGAACGGTCCACTGAACATAGAAAATGATAGTGCGAGTGGGGCATCCGTGTATTAAGGACACATTCTTGTTTGGTCTGTTTTTTTCTAAAACTATAAGCAATAAGTCAACTATATTTGGTGTGTGGAATGATTGTAAGGTGTATTTGTCTGTCTGGCAATTATCATCTGACCATGACCTCATTTTCATGGTACATTGGTCAATCTTAAGTTTTCCTGGTTAAGTTTGTTTCTTAGATACTATATGCAATAGGTCAACTATATTTAAAGCATGTAATGATTGTAAGGTGTACATGTCTGTCTGATAGGGTTCATCTGACCTTGACCTCATTTTCATGGTTCATTGATCAATGTTAAATTTTCCTGGTTAAGTTTGTTTCTTAGATACTATATGCAATAGGTCAACTATATTTAAAGCATATTTAGTGTATGGAATGATTGTAAGGTGTACATGTATTTCCAGTTTGGTTTATTTGACCTTGACCTCATTTTCTTGGATCATGTTAAGTTTGTGTGATAGTTGTAGTAAGACTTTATATTAAGGACTATCAACATAGAAACAAAGGTCAGTAAAGAAAATGAGACATTTCAGCGTGTGCACTCTTGTATAGTATAATGCAGTACAATGGAACACATGTAAGACAATTCTTTAATCTATTAATCATCTAAAATGTATCATTGCCTATTTGAAACTATATATTAATAGCTTAATATATGTTAAAACAAGGATTTGTCTAGTAATATACAAATCCTTGGTTAAAACAAATATTAGTTTGAAATATAAAATACTTACTTTACAAAATAATTTCAGTTATAAATCTAAAAATGTGCATGCTGCATGCTAAAGTGTACTGTTTTTAATTTTTGTCGAGCCTGAGACTTTTGTCGCAGAAAACTCGACATAGGGATAGTGATCCGGCGGCGGTGGCTATGGCGGCGTTAGCTTACTTCTTATAAGCTTCATATTTTAGAAGGTGGAAGACCTGGATGCTTCATACTTTGTATATGGATGCCTCATGTTACAAAGTTTCCGTCAGTCACATTTCCAATGTCCTTGACCTCATTTTCATGGTTCAGTGACTACTTGAAAAAAAAGTGAAGATTTTTTGTAATGTTAAATTCTCTATTATTATAAGTAATAGGATAACTATATTTGGTATGTGCGTACCTTGCAAGGTCCTCATGCCTGTCATACAGTTTTCACTTGACCTCAACCTCATTTCATGGATCAGTGAACAAGGTTAAGTTTTGGTGGTCAAGTCCATATCTCAGATACTATAAGCAATAGGTCTAGTATATTCGGTGTATGGAAGGACTGTAAGGTGTACATGTCCAACTGGCAGGTGTCATCTGACCTTGACCTCATTTTCATGGTTCAGTGGTTATAGTTAAGTTTTTGTGTTTTGGTCCGTTTTTCTTATACTGTATGCAATAGGTCTACTATATTTGGTGTATGGAATGATTGTAAGGTGTACATGTCCAACTGGCAGGTGTCATCTGACCTTGACCTCATTTTCATGGTTCAGTGGTTAAAGTTAAGTTTTTGAGTTTTGGTCTTTTTTTCTAATACTATATGCAAAAGTTCAACTATATTTGGTGTATGGAAATATTTTATGATCTATATGTCAGTCACACAGGTTTTATTTGACCTTGACCTCATTTTCAAGGTTCATTGCTCAGTGTTAAGTTTTTTGTGTTTTGGTCTGTTTTTCTTATACTATAAGCAATAGGTCAACTATATTTGTTGTATGGAAGAATTGTTAGCTGTACAGGCCTGCCTAGCATGGTTCATCTGACCTTGACCTCATTTTCATGGTTCATTGGTCAATGTTTAGTTTACTTGGTTAATGTTAAGTTTATGTGACAGTTGTAATAAAGCTTTATATTTAGGACTATCAACATAATATCAATGATTAGTAAAGAAGGCGAGACATTTCAGCGTGTGCACTCTTGTATAATAATTTGATTAAGAAATATTTTCATGGACAGTATTTCACAGTGAAATGTTGTCCAAAAGGAGGTTACAAAATCTCATGGACAAGGACACTATTTTTTATGAAATTTTGTACAATGAACAATATTTTATGTTACATATTCACTTGTTGTTAAGATCTGTTGCTATGACACTAATGACACATTAGCAAAGATTGATTCAGTAGTCAGCTGTTCTTTAGATCTATTGCCATGATACTGATGACACATCAGGAAATATTGATTCAGTATTCAGACTTTCAGTTGTTGTTTAGATCTGTTGCTATGATACCAATGACATATTAGCAAAGATTGATTCAGTATTGACTTGTTGTTTAGATCTGTTGCTATGATACTAATGGCATATCAGCAAAGATTGGTTCAGTATTCCGATGTTCTTTATATCTAATGCCATGATACTGATGACACACCAGGAAATATTGATTCAGTATTCAGACTTTCAGTTGTTGTTTAGATCTGTTGCTATGATACCAATGGCATATCAGCATCAGGAAATATTGATTCAGTATTCAGACTTTCAGTTGTTGTTTAGATCTGTTGCCATGATATTGATGACACATCAGGAAATATTGATTCAGTATTCCGTTGTTGTTTAGATCTAGAAATTGACAATGAAAGTCAGTTTAGAACTGTGATTTTTCTATTTCTATGTAGCAACATTCCAGCAGAGCCTTCATATAGAATATACATATCCCAGGTGACACAATTTCGGGGAGCTTGCGATTTCTATCATGATTTTCTTGTTAGAGAGAGTTACTGCTTATATAATTGCAAGGAAGCTGTTAAACCAAGGGATCCAAGTGGTGAAGTTGAAACCATCCCTTCAAATTTTAAGCTCACCTGGCCCGAAGGGCCAAGTGAGCTTTTCTCATCACTTGGCGTCCGTCGTCCGTCGTCGTCCAGCGTCGTCCGTCGTCCGCGATAACTTTTTACATTTTGAACTTCTTCTAGAGAACCACTGAATGGAATGAAACCAAACATGGCATGAATGTTCCTTATGAGGTGCTGACCAAGTGTTGTTACTTTGTAGCCAATCCATCATCCAAGATGGCCGCCAGCGGGGGACTTAGTTTAACATAGGACCCTATGGAAAATGCATACAAATGACTTCTTTTAGAGAACCACTGAATGGAATAAAACCAAACATGGCATGAATGTTCCTTATGAGGTGCTGACCATGTGTTGTTACTTTGTAGCCGATCCATCATCCAAGATGGCCGCCATCGGGGAACTTAGTTTAACATAGGACCCTATGGGAAATACATACAAATGTCTTCTTTTAGAGAACCACTGAATGGAATGAAACCAAACATGGCATGAATGTTCCTTATGAGGTTCTGACCAAGTGTTGTTACTTTGTAGCCGATCCATCATCCAAGATGGCTGCCAGCGGGGAACTTAGTTTAACATAGGACCCTAAGGGAAATACATACAAATGTCTTCTTTTATTGAACCACTGAATGGAATGAAACCAAACATGGCATGAATGTTCCTTATGAGGTGTTGACCAAGTGTTGTTACTTTGCAGTCGGTCCATCATCCAAGATGGCCGACAGCAGGGGACTTAGTTTATCAAAGGACCTATGGGAAATACATACAAATGTCTTCTTTTAGAGAACCACTGAATGGAATGAAACCAAACATGGCATGAATCTTCCTTATGAGATGCTGACCAAGTATTGTTACTTTGTAGCCGATCCATCATCCAAGATGGCCGCCAGCGGGGGACTTCGTTTTACATAGGACCCTTTGGGAAATACATAAAAATGTCTTCTTTTAGAGAACCAATAAATGGAATGGAACCAAACATGGCATGAATTTTCCTTATGAGATGTTGACCAAGTGTTGTTACTTTGCAGCCGATCCATCATCCAAGATGGCCGACAGCAGGGGACTTAGTTTAACATAGGACCCTATGGGAAATACATACAAATGTCTTCTTTTATTGAACCACTGAATGGAATGAAACCAAACATGGCATGAATGTTCCTTATGAGGTGTTGACCAAGTGTTGTTACTTTGCAGTCGGTCCATCATCCAAGATGGCCGACGGCAGGGGACTTAGTTTAACAAAGGACCTATGGGAAATACATACAAATGTCTTCTTTTAGAGAACCACTGAATGGAATGAAACCAAACATGGCATGAATCTTCCTTATGAGATGCTGACCAAGTATTGTTACTTTGTAGCCGATCCATCATCCAAGATGGCCGCCAGCGGGGGACTTAGTTTTACATAGGACTCTTTGGGAAATACATAAAAATGTCTTCTTTTAGAGAACCAATAAATGGAATGGAACCAAACATGGCATGAATGTTCCTTATGAGATGTTGACCAAGTGTTGTTACTTTGCAGCCGATCCATCATCCAAGATGGCCGACAGCAGGGGACTTAGTTTAACATAGGACCCTACGGGAAATACATACAAATGTCTTCTTTTAGAGAACCACTGAATGGAATGAAACCAAACATGGCATGAATGTTCCTTATGAGGTGCTGACCAAGTGTTGTTACTTTGCAGTCGGTCCATCATCCAAGATGGCCGACAGCAGTGGACTTAGTTTAACAAAGGACCTATGGGAAATACATACAAATGTCTTCTTTTAGAGAACCACTGAATGGAATGAAACCAAACATGGCATGAATCTTCCTTATGAGATGCTGACCAAGTGTTGTTACTTTGTAGCTGATCCATCATCCAAGATGGCCGCCAGTGGGGGACTTAGTTTTACATAGGACCCATTGGGAAATACATAAAAATGTCTTCTTTTAGAGAACCAATAAATGGAATGGAACCAAACATGGCATGAATGTTCCTTATGAGATGTTGACCAAGTGTTGTTACTTTGCAGCCGATCCATCATCAAAGATGGCCGACAGCGGGGGACTTAGTTTAAAATAGGACCCTATGGGAAATACATACAATTGTCTTCTTTTAGAGAACCACTGAATGGAATTGAACCAAACATGGCATGAATGTTCCTTATGAGTTGCTGACCAAGTGTTGTTACTTTGCAGTCGATCCATCATCCAAGATGGCCGCTGGGGGGGGGCTTAGGTTAACATAGGACCCTATGGGAAATACATACAAATGTCTTCTTTTAGAGTACCACTGAATGGAATGAAACCAAACATGGCATGAATGTTCCTTATGAAGTGCTGACCAAGTGTTGCTACTTTGTTGCCGATTTACTGTTCAAGATGGCCACCAGGATATTTTATTAAATAACGGGACCAATATTAATCAAAATTTGGCCTCAATCATTATTTGGGTATCTGTTATGATTTTTATCTATCTTTACATGATTTCTAAAACCAAAGTAGAGTCAGGTGAGCGACACAGGCTCTTGTGAGCCTCTTGTTTACTGACACCATTGCGAATTGTTCGACCGTTATGGAATATCTGTTAAACATTTGATAACGGATTTAGTCAAATTGTTGTAACCACAATAGTCAATACTGTTCTCTTTTCTCGAATTTGACATCACTGAATCGGACATATAATGTATCATCAAATTTTATACTTGCATGAGCAACACGATGAGTGCCACATGTAAAGTAGGATCTGCTTACCCTTCCTGAGCACCTGAGATCACCCCGGTTTTTGGTAGGGTTCTTCTTACTCAGTCTGTAGTGTTCTGTAATGTGTTTGATAGAAGTTGATTGTCTTTTGGTCTTTATTCGTTTTTTGCCATGACGTTAAAATTGTCATTTTGTCTTTGACGTAAGAGTTTGAATATCCCTTTAATTTATTCCACATCTCTTGTAAAAATTTTCAAACAGACTTACCGAAATAGTAAAGAACAAATGAGGAAGTAGTGTATATTTCAAATATAAGTGTTTCTGAGGTATTCATTAATATGTATATTGTTAAAATAAAAAATAAATGAAGGTAGCTTTTAAACTGATTATTATCCTATATCATGTAGGTTATATATATAGACCAACTTATATAACTGTTTTCTATTTTCCAGGTGGAAGTAATCAAACAAGACTTGAGGGTAAGTATTTATTGTTTGTTAATCCATAGGATATTATATAAAGCATTTTTTTACGTCCGCTCACGGGTCATATTATTGTATACTCTTGTTCTAGCCGGCCATATGTCGTCAAGATGTTGGAACAATAACTCAAAAACACTTTCACACATTTTCACGAATCTTTGGTGAATTGTTTATATCTATTGATGTTAGCTCCCTTTTAATATTATAAATTTTAGGTTGTACGTTTCCGAGTAATAGGAGTTTATTTATAAAAAATGGTGTATTTTCCAGTTTTTTGACAATAATTTTCATGAAACTTTGGTGAATTGTTTATATAATTTGACATAGGTTCCCTTTATATTTATAAACAAATTCTGATTTTACTTGTTTGAGTATTGGGACTTTATTCATCAAAAATGCTTTTAGCAGTTATCTTGAAAACTTTGGTGACTTGTTTATAGCTATTGAAATAAACTTCCTTTCTTTTCTATAAATTTCTGATATGACATTGCAAAGTTGTGTAACTTTATATTTGAAAAATGGTTGAAAACTGTCTAGTTGACAACAGGCATATCATGCGCTCATGGCACAGCTCCTTATTTTCTCTTTGTATGGCATGTGTTTTGGAATAAAAAAAATGTATCTAAGGTCAAGTTTGCATGAGAAATTTGCATCAATAGTTGAGCACATTTATAGTTAATGAACCACACAAAAATTATCAGTTAAATCTAGCCAATACCCAGGCGATAGCCATTAATCCCCAACCCCTCCTATTGAATTGTCAGATTGACGTGCTTGTATTCACTTTCTTTTTATGCAGGTTTTACCTTAGTTAGGGAAAAATTATATTTTTTATGCCATGTGTCTGTCCATCAAACTGTCAATGACTGTCCTAAATCAGGTTAAAAATTTGCTTTAAAAGGGGCACTTAAGCTACGAGATATATATATACAAAAATTTATTTTTTGATTTTGTTTGTTTAATCATTAATAAAAATGAAATAATAATTCGCTTTTAGCAGCCAGATAGATAGTTCAATTTTGTCAAAATAAGCTAAGAAAAATCGATGATGAATTATTCACTTGCAAGTGAATAATTCGACCTCATTGAATGTGTAATCATGTGACCTTCAATTTAACCCCTTAGCTAAAGATGGATTACCCATGAATTATGTGTTTTCAGTTATTGAAAGGAAAAAAATGTCAATATTGAAAGTGGCACAAAGGTAAATCATTTGATTGACTGATTCAAATCCACAAAAACTCATTCTATACAGGTAAAAATGATGATTAACAGATACTTTTAACTATTATATGAAATTAAACAGACCTAGAAAAATCCATCTGCACGAGTTCGCTATCTATTTATATTTTCATGTTTATATCGCTTACATGACTGTCAGCAGTCTTATGAGGTCAACTCGTTAGTTAATTAGATGGCGTCTAGACTAAAATACACACGAAACGATGAAACATATATTGAGTTTATATGCCTTGTAAATTGTTTATTTTAGACTTTTTATTCGACCGCAAAAAAATTTTTGGGATTGTATACTGGTATGATGTCGTCGTCGTCGTCTGCATCGTCGTCTGAAGACACATTGATTTCCGGACAATAACTTTAGTTTTAGTGAATGGATCTCTATGAATTTTTTTTTAGAAGGTTCGATACCACGAAAGGAAGGTTGGGATTGATTTTGGGGATGATGGTCCCAACCGTTCAGGAATTAGGGGCCCAAAAAGGGGCCCAAAACAAGCATTTTTCTAGTTTCAGGATAATAACTTGTGTATAAGTATTTCGATTGCTCTGAAATTGTACCACAATGTTTAATATCACAAGTAGAAGGTTGGGATTCATTTTAGGGGTTATGGGGCCAACAGTTTATAAATTAAGGGCCAAAAAGGGGCCAAAAACAAGCATTTTTCTAGTTTCCAGACAATAACTTGTGTGTAAGTGTATGGATCTCTCTGACATTGTACCACAATGTTCCATATAACAAAGGGATGGCAGGGATTGAGTTTGGGGTTAATTGCCCCAAACATGTAGGAATTAGGGGCCAAAAAAGGGCCAAACACAAGCATTTTTCTAGTTTCCAGACAATAACTTGTGTGTATGTGTATGGATCTCTCTGAAATTGTACTACAAGGTTCCATACTACAAAGGAAAGGCTGGGATTGAGTTCTGGGGTTACTGCTCCAAGGGGGGGTTTCAAAAAGTTGGGAGGGGGGGTGAATTTTTTTCTCAATTTTTTAAGGGATTCATATTTTTTTTTCAAAATTTTTAGAATTTCACAAATTTTTGAAAAGTTTCAAGAAGAAATCTTCAATTGCACAGTATTGCGCAATAGATTTATAAGATCTTTGACCACATTTATTTTGTGTCAGAAACCTATATTATGTCAAAAATTTGAAAACAATCCAAATTCAAGCATGAATATTGTGTCCAAATTTGCCCCAACTGTTCAGGGTTCGACCTCTGCGGTTGTATCAGGCTGCGCTCAGCGAAGCATTTTATTATAATTTGGATATAGGTTTTAGTGTGTTATAAATCAAATATGAGAACTTTAGTCAAATTGGTGAACATGAATTTGACAGGCAATGCCCCTTTAATGTAGTTAATCATAAATTTATGATCACTTAGCACATATGTTCATTATGATGTGAACATTTACAAATGTAGGGTTATGAACAAGATTATAAAGCTTAAATTACTGAACATGAAAGCAAGAAAGTACATACATCACTGGGGGAAAGCTGCTGTTCGTAACTTCCGTTACATACGGCCCAATATGGCAGATGACCGTACCGATAAGATTTTATATTTCCTAAATACTTTTGATTAAAAGCATTGTTGGTAGGGAAAATTGGTCATAGTCTGTATAATATAATATAATATGGACAACAAAAATATCAAGGATTCTGGAGACAGAATACCGAAATAATGGTTTTATACTACGGTGAAAAAAACAAGAAGCCGTATGTAACTTTAAAAATGAAAATAAAAAAGTTGTTAGTAATGGATTTTAGGGCCGTGTGTAACTAACTTACTTATAATTTTATTGATTTGTCAGCTGTATACTGAAAACTGCTTTCAATTTAACAATTTTAATGCACATATTGCGCTGTTTCCAAAATAAGGACAAGTCGGGAAACAAAATAAAATAATATGTACGGAATTCCCAGTCATGAATTTGATTTTTTTCCATTACAAAATTACTGTAAATAAATAAGATTTATAGATATTTATTAATGAGTTTAATTTGCCTTTACAATCTAGACACTTTACTTTTTTAATTTATTTTATGCCTGTTGATGCGCGACTGTCAAGCCCCCAAGTTATTGACACTTCAATTTATAATATGCATGTTTACAAACTTTGGGATTAGAATTAATTTTCTATAATAATTTTTCCCAGATCCTCTTGAAGAAAAAATGAATGGGAAATATGTTCTACAGACTGAGCACTAGATTTAATGGCTTACGTTTTTCTCTAGAAAAGGTTGATAATTTAGTCTTAGATGCATTTTTTTTAAGTTGTTATTGGCTTTGAACTAGCTGTCAGTTAATGCGAGTACTCTCAGATCTGTACTTAGTGTTTTTTGTTGTTGGGATGTACAAGTACCCGGCCATGTTCACTCTGTGTTTTTGTTAGATGTATTTCTATTCGTATCCATCTTATGAGTTAAGCCTTTTTCAAATGATTTTTATTGTTTGTTCTTCTGTTGTACTGTTACACCACTGTCCCAGGTTAGGGGAGGGTTGGGACCCCGCGAACATGTTTAACACCCCCACATTCTGTATGTATGTGCCTGTCCCAAGTCCCAAGAGCCTGTAATTCAGTGCATGGTTGTCGTTTGTTGCTGTGTTACATATTTGTTTTTCATTCATTTTTATACGGCCGCCAAAACATTTTTGTGGTCGTATATTGGTATGACGTTGACGTTGGTGTTGTCGTCGTCGTCGTCATCGTCGTCAGAAGACACATTGGTTTTCGCACTCTAACTTTAGTTTAATTAAATGAATCTCTATGAAATTTTACCGTAAGGTTCAATACCACAAGAGGAAGGTGGGAATTGATTTTGGGAGTTATGGTACCAACAGTTAAGGAATTAGGGGCCAAAAAGGGGCCAAAAATAGGCATTTTTGTAACTTCCAGACATAACTTGTGTGTTAGTGTATGGATCTCTCTGACATTGTACCACAAGGTTCCATATCACAAAGGGAATGCTGGGATTGATTTTGGGGGTAATTGCCTCCAAATTTAAGGAATCAGGGGTCTAAAAGGGGCAAAAAACAAGCATTTTTCTAGTTTCATGACAATAACTTGTGTGTAAGTGTATGGATCTCTCTGATATTGTACTACAAGGTTCCATATCACAAAGGGAATGCTGGGATTGATTTTGGGGGTAATTGCCTCCAAATTTTAGGAATAAGGGGCCAAAAAGGGGCAAAAACAAGCATTTTTCTAGTTTCATGACAATAACTTGTGTGTAAGTGTATGGATCTTTATGAAATTGTACTACAAGGTTCCATATCACAAAGGGAAAGCTGGAATTGAGTTTGGGGGTAATTGCCCAAAACGCTTAGGAATAAGGGGCCAAAAATAAGCATTTTTCTAGTTTCCAGACAATAACTTGTGTTCAAGTGTATGGATCTCTCTGAAATTGTACTGCAAGGTACCATACCACAAAGGGAAGGCTGGGATTGATTTCTGGGGTAATTCCCTCAAAATTTTAGGAATTAGGGGCCATAAAGGGGCAAAAAAACAAGCATTTTTCTAGTTTCAGGACAATAACTTGTGTGTAAGTGTATGGATCTTTATGAAATTGTACTGCAAGGTTCCTTGTCACAAAGGGAAAGCTAGGTTTGAGTTTGGGGGTAATTGCCTTAAAAGTTTAGGAATTTTGGGCCAAAAAGGGGCCAAAAAACAAGCATTTTTCTAGTTTCCAGACAATAACTTGTGTTCAAGTGTATGGATCTCTCTGAAATTGTACTGAAAGGTACCATACCAAAAAGGGAAAGCTGGGATTGATTTTGGGGGTAATTTCCATCAAAATTTTAGGAATTAGGGGCCATAAAGGGACAAAAAACAAGCATTTTTCTAGTTTCAGGACAATAACTTGTGTGTAAGTGTATGGATCTTTATGAAATTGTACTGCAAGGTTCCATATCACAAAGGGAAAGCTAGGTTTGAGTTTGGGGGTAATTGCCCTAAATGTTTAGAAATTTGGGGCCAAAAAGGGGCCAAAAAACAAGCATTTTTGTCGAGCCTTCGACTTTTGTCGAAAAAGCGAGACATAGCGATCCTACATTCCGTCGGCGGCGTCGTCATCGGCGGCGGCGTCCACAAATATTCACTCTGTGGTTAAAGTTTTTGAAATTTCAATAACTTTCTCAAACTATCCTGGATTTCTACCAAACTTGGACAGAAGCTTGTTTATGATCATAAGATAATATTCAAAAGTAAATTTTGTAAAAAAAAAATCCATTTTTTCCGTATTTTACTTATAAATGGACTTAGTTTTTCTGCCAGTTTACATTACATTCACTCTGTGGTTAAAGTTTTTGAAATTTTAATAACTTTCTTAAAATATCTTGGATTTGTACCAAACATGGACAGAAGCTTGTTCATGATCAAAAGCTAGTATCTAGAAAGAAATTTTGTTAAAATCTTGTTCAATTTTTTCCGTATTTTACTTATAAATGGACTTAGTTTTTCTTCCAGTTAACATTACATACAGTCTGCAGTTTAAGTTTTTAAAACATTTTTTAGAATCATAAACTATCCTGGATTTTTACCAAACTTGGACAGAAGCTACTTACAATCAAAAGATAGTATAGAGAGGAATATATTTTATTAATTTTTCTCCTTATTTTTGTTGAGCCTGCGATTAACAGCAAAAGTAGGCGAGACACTGGGTTCCGCGGAACCCTTACGAATTTTTTCTAGTTTCCAGACAATAACTTGTGTTCAAGTGTATGGATCTCTCTGAAATTGTACTGCAAGGTATCATACCACAAAGGGAAGGCTGGGATTGAGTTTGGGGGTGATGAATCATAAGGGGGTTCAACAAATTTGGGGGGGGGGGATTTTTTTTTTCCTTTTTTTTCTTTAAAATTTTCCATTTTAAATTGGTTATTTCTGATTTATATATAAAAGCAAATAATAATGATATGGTTTGAATAGGTAGCTTAACAATTTTTAAGTTCTTAGACCACATTCATTCTGTGTCAGAAACCTATGCTGTGTCAAATATTTAATTACAATCCAAATTCAGTGCTGTATCAAGCTTGAATGTTGTGTCCATACTTGCCCCAACTGTTCAGGGTTCGACCTCTGCGGTCGTATCAAGCTGCGCCCCAGCGAAGCATTTTATTGTACATGTATTAGGCCGTTAGTTTTCTCGTTTGAGTTGTTTAACATTTGTCATTGTGAAGTTTTCTCGTTTGAGTTGTTTTACATTTGTCATTGTGAAGAGTTGTCTCATTGGCACATACCACATCTTCTTTTTTATACAAACATGAATGATACTATCATGGAAGCCAAATATGTTGTAGTGAGTAAGACTTTATCTGGTAATTATTAGAACATTCATTTATATATAAATATGTAAAATAAAATTAAGAACTTTTTATCAAAATAGCAGTGTTTTAATCTATCTGTTAATGTTTAAAATTAAAATGGGATCAGTTGAAGTTCTAAATTTTCATATTATTACTATTATCATTATTATTCTGATAATAATTATAATATGTTTATATAAATAGTTTTACACTATTTTAGAAAATTGATCGTCTTTAAATTTAAAAAATAATATTTTATATCCTTTATCAATTAGAATGTCTCACTGAACAGCATCCAGGGTAAATACTTGATACTGGCGTTTTACATATATGTATCTAATTAATTTTAAGACTTTTGCCTTAAATACATGAGCATATCTGGGTTGTTTCTTGTTGGAGTTTTACAGAATAAAAGCAAAAGATGCAGAATTATTCATAATTAACTTCTTAATCAATAATGAGAAGAAAAATTAGCAAAAGCATTAATGGTGATTCTGTATCTTTTGCTTTTTATTTTTTTATTTAACTTTATTCAAAATCTAACTACATAGTATTTAAAAAAAAAAGTTTTCCATGGCATATCTAGGGTCAAATAAAAATTACAAATACTATTGTATATTTATTTCTAGATCCCTGTATATGTATGTATTGCCATCCATGTTATCTCTCTGATCTCTATTCAATGCTCTGTTTTTATGTAGTGAAATGTCTTTCTGTTACTTGTCAAATAAAATAACAATACGTTTCCATGCATACATTTTGTTGATGTAGTAAAAATACAACTTCAAATTTTTTTTTGTTCCAAAATACATTACATAAAGTCATATACGTGATGTGCTTAGTTTTATTATTTTAGCGTTACAAACAGCCTTTCTATATAAATACTTTACGTTGCAAACAACCACCTTCAAAGTTACGTACGACCTCTTTTTTTATTTTCCATCGTAAAAAACCATTACTTCGTTATTCTATCTCCAGAACGCTTGATATTCGTGTTGTTCTACATATTATACAGAAATTTACCAATTTTCTCTACCAACATCGCTTTTGATCAAAAGTATTTAGGAAATATAAAATCTTATTGGTGCGGTCATCTGTCACATTGGGCCATACATAACGGAAGTTAAGAACAACCGCTTTCCCCCTGTGTACATGGCTTAATTTCATATGGACATATTGTCTTGTATAATTCTTCATCTAATTTAAGAGTAATGTTCACAATAAATATAGCTAGGATTGATATTGCGAATTTTGTATTCTATCAGATATTGTCCAGGCGTGAAATTTTGGTTTGTTTCGATCAGAATTGAGATAAAATTTCAAAAATATCTCCTCAAAACAGTGATCTTTGAGGAATATCAAAATAAAGGAGAAGAACAAGAAAAACATGAAAAGTTTTTCGTAAGGATTTGTCAAATACTAAATCACCGAAATATATTTGTATCAGAATAGTCATGATAAAGTTCTTGTGTGGGTGTTGGATAGTTGTTGAAGATAAAAATAGGATTAATCATGTAACTGGTTTTCATGTCCTACATGTCCTATGTTACTTCTATTTAATTATTTTCATATTAACTTTTATGTGATATAAACATTGATAGTGGATTATTGTAAGATTTAAACATTGATAGTTTACCTACCGTAATAAGGGACTTTCCATTTTGAATTTTCCTTTGATTTCAATATTTTTTTATTTTACTTTTTACTATTATATGCTTTAAGCATTGATATAGATATGATTATTATATGATTTTAATTGATTTCAGTAATACCCAAATACTCATATCATTATCGGTTTAAATATATTTTAGAAGATACAAAAGCCCTTATTGAAGAAGATGTAAGAGAGGGTACATTCGTAAGTACTAAGGCAGTGACGGATGGCTTATTACTACTGAAACAGAATGGAGTCTTGTTGATAACAGGACATGCAGGTACAGGAAAAAGTCGGATTGGTCGTCATGTCCTACATATGTTTTGTACTGAAAATATGTCACACAAATGTATGAAGCTAACATTGGCAGAATGGGATAATATGACCAATAGAAAAGAAAATATGGACAATAGAGCAGAAAATTTGGTGCTTCTACTTGATGACATTTTCGGAGAAACAAATTGTATTTACAATAGAGAAAAAGATACCCCAATTCTAGACAAAGTTCATGCATATGTATGTAAAGGTAACATTAAAGTCATTATAACAATCAGAGATACAGTCAAACGTCAATGTCAAGAAATGTTTGACAGTCATAGATTATTTAAGTCTGACTTCATTGATCTAAGTACAGACAAGTATTTACTAAGCCGGAAGGAGAAAAATACTTTTCTCGCAAAATACATGAAAACAGTTCGTCAATCAGACTATACCGACAATAAAGGGTTTTTGGATTTTAATGGTGACACAATTTTAGATAAGAAAGAAGTTTTGAAAATAATACAAGAAAATCCTGTCAAAGGATTTCCTCTAGTAGTGTATCAGTTTGTCCATTACAACAAATATTTTAAGCTTGAAAGTAAATTTTTCGACAGGCCAACAAAGGCCATGTTAGAAGACATGAATGCAATAAGACGTAAAGGTGAGGATCAGAGGAATTTTATGATACAGTATGCAGTAATGGTCTACACAGCAATAAATGAAAACCGTATCAACCCTGATGATAGCTCTAATATTACAGAGATTCCAAAGATAATTGATGCAATCTATGAAAAAACAGTAAAGCTGAAAAAATGGCACATATCAGATGCAGTTAATGAACTTAAAGGAAGTCATTTGATTAATATTCCAAACCGAAGATCTTACAGATTACACCACCCAACACTGCAGGAGAGTGTCATCTTATCTTTTGCTCAGATTGATGAAGCAAATATAAACAAGATCATACCTTTAATCAGCTGGTCATTTTTCCTAAAGATGGTAAAACCAGAATCATACAAAGAAAAAGAGGGAGAGGTAGTATTGAGAATTCAAACAAACAGTTTTAAACTATTGGCTGATAGATTAGTGGATATATACATAGCAGAATTTGTGACTTATGACTTTGATCGTTTTATATCTAACTTATGTAATACTGAAATATTCCAGCAAGAATATTGTCACCTGCTACCTTGTTTATTAGAGGTTTTAGAAAAGGAAGATATCAAAGATAAACATACTGAAAATATGATTAGATCTGGTGAAATAGATAGGTGTGACTATGTTAGTAATAATGTACACATAAGGAACAAAGAACTTTTTCTTGCTAACTTACTTGACACATTAGCCAATTTAGAAAAGCAGTTAGATATATATATCTTTTTATTGAAGATATTTAAGACAATAATAAAAACCAGCAGTTCTCGATTAACTATTAATTACATGAAATTTGCTTTGATTTCATCTTTATATGTGATCTGTTCAACTAAAGATGTAAGATGTGTTAAAGCCACATTGGACATAGTAGAAGAATACAAAATACCTGTTTTACTTGATCAGGGAATTATACTAACCGAGATACCAAACATAATTTTAAGATCCATATTTTGGGAAAAATATGATGAAACATGTGTTTATCTTACATTATGTATAGGGAGTGCATATGAAGTTTTTAATATACCGGTGTTGGAGTTCTTACTTTCAAAATACAATTGGACTCCATTTGATATCAATTTATTTTTCAAGATGATATATAAGGATGAATGGATACAATACATAATCCTGTCATTTAGAGAAAGAATTCTGGGCTGGCCATCATTATCTATTGAACCACTAAAATGGATGATCGAAACATTTCAAGACCAGAAATTAGATGATCCTAACTTTATCTTAAGAATTGCTTGCAAGTTCCAGATGTTTGATACAGTTGAGTATGTTGCCTCTAGATGTAAAACAATTGATGAGGTTTCTTGTCTTCAAGCATTTGTAGATAAACCTGGTGATATTTTACTTGGTGAAGTTCCTTTTAATAAAAAATTATTTGATTTTCTTATTAAAAGAATTGACATTACTTCAAAAGACCTGATTCCTGTTGTTAAGTCAGTTATAAAGAAACAGAATGTTCCAGATTATATGTGTGATGCTTTTCTTCCAGTCTGCATAAATGATGCAAAGATATTGACTTTGGCTTGCGAGAATGGACAATTCTATCTTATAAAGCTTATAATCGAAAGCAGCCACAATAAATATTTAGACATTCAGTCAGCTCTAATGGCAGCATGTAAGGAATCTGAGAGTAAACTTCATCATTCATTTTACCATGAGAAAGTAGGTGATGAAGTTGAAAAGTTAAAAATAGTAAAATATATTGTTGAAAAAATTGGATTTGATCGGTTAGATTTTAAAGCTGTATGTCAACAGGCATGTTCTTCCAAAAAAATCAAAATCTTAGAATGGTTTGTTGAGAACATTGATACAACTAGACTGGATGTGTTTACCATTATACAGTCAGCTTTAGTTTGTAAAAGATCAGATAAATTAGAATACATAATGAAAAATATTGAATTAGAAAGTTTAGATAAAAGAAAAGTTTTAAAATCTGTAACTGAACACTATACTGCTGGATGTTTTACTTCAATATTGAAAATAGTACACACTATCTGGGATAGAACAGATGATAAGGAAGTGTTACATATGGAAGAAGTAGTAAATACAGCGTATGAAAGGAAACATTTCGAGTTATTGATGTGGATTCATGATAACTGTCATCCACATATATCTATTGATTCAAAGAAAGTATTAATGTTAGCATGTGAAGATTACAGGATTGATGTAGCAAAGTGGGTAGTTCAGGCTTGTGAACAAACATCATTGGATATTGATGGAGGGAAATTATTCATTAAATTTTGTAGTAAAAGGTTTTATCTTGAATATAGTATAAGAAATAAACATTGTATAGAAATGGGACTTGAATTGATAGACACGGTAAAATGGATTCTTGAAAGTTTTGAAATAAAACGCGTGGATATTATATCAGGTGTTTTAAAATTGATAAGTGTTAATAGAAAAATAGTAAATAATTTATCTAATTTAGTTGTTTCTATACTTGAAAAATACTTAAGTTGCTTAGATATAGAAGATATGGTAGAAATGATAAACAAATCTCTTGAACAGAAATATTATGTTCTTGTGAATTGGTTTCTTGAAAAAAGAGGCTCTTGTTCATTCGATAAACAGATGATTCTGAACAAGGCCTGTGCAGATGAAAAGATAGAAACAATAAAGATATTAAGTAAATATTTCTATGCTTTGGACATAAATCAAGCAATGATCAATGCATGCACTTCAGCTGCTTCTAGATATGATGAAAAGCCATTTCAGAGATGGATAGATTTTAACAATGATCAATCAGTTGCCTGTTTGAGTCTGTTGTGGAATGAATTTAATAAAATTAACCATGATTCCATTGATATAAGAACAATTGTGAGTACAGTTTGTAAGGAGAAAAAAGTCGGAAACAATGTTATGACATGGATTCTTCTAAATCTTCCTCTGGAACAAATTCCAATCAATGAAGTTTTAAAAACCTGTTGTCAACAAAGTAAAATCCATCATGTGAAGTATATACTTCATAAAGTAGATAATGAACAGCTTGACATAAAAGAAGCATTTGTTCATACATGTCTGGCAGCTACAGGTGAAGTAATGTTTCAAATGAAAAATGATAAACCAAATTTGGTAATGATTGTAGATTATTTGTTTCAAATGAAAAATGATAAAGATTCTTATGTGTCCTTAGTTTTGAATGAATTATTTGAAAAGAAAAAGTTAAGTCTTATACTATACTTTCTACAGGCAGGATATTGTAGGCACATTGACATGAAGAAACTTTTGAAAGAAGCATGCAGGCATGGATATGTTAGACTAGTGCAGTGGATTTTAGGAAACGTTGAACATAAAGAACTGGATATTAAGTCTGCATTTCATGAAGCTTGTAATGGTAAAATACATTTTAGACCGCAGAATCATATCAAGTGTTTAGCTTTAATGTGGCACTATATACATGATATAAGCATGTTTGAGATAGATACTGTATTAAAATCCATGGCAGAGTCAAAATCACACACGTCTGATATTCGTGCCATGTATATTTCATATCCAGTTGCTGACTTGAAAACCTGGTTACTATACATCAAGGACATAAATCAGAGAATATGTCAATCAGACAGTGCTTTGTTAAATATTGAAGAAAATATAAACCAACAAAGTCAACACGTAAATGATGGGAAATGTTGTTTAGAAGACTTACAAGACAATGATGATTCAAACAGCAGTAATGAGCAGGATGATTGTCCATCACCAATGAAAAGATTGCGTTTGGAAATAGAGGAACAAAAATAAATAAAATGTTAGAAGGTGAATTAAAAAATATTAATAATATGGAAAATTGCATTGTTAGCGCTCTCATGTGTACAATTCCTGCCAGTTTTTATGAAACTTATATTGTAAGTTTATATCCGAGATGTCTCGGACGAGTTCGAAAATCAGTGCTGATCAATTATTTTTAAAAGAGCTCTGCCCCTCAGAAATATTAATAATATGGAAAATTGCATTGTTAGCGCTCTCTTGTGTACAATTCTTGCCAAATTTTATGAAACTTATATCATAGGTTTATATCTGCAATGTCTCAGACAAGTTTGAATATTAGTGCCGATCAATTATTTTTAAAAGAGTTATGCCCTTAGAAATATTAATTATATGTGAATTTGCATAGTAAGCGCTCTCACATGTACATTTTTTGCCAGGTTTTATCAAATTCATATCAAAGGTTAATATCAGCAATGTCACAGACAATTTCGAAAATAATATGCCAATCAATAAATTTTAAAGAGTTATGTCCTTTGGAAATATTATATTTATATATATATATATATATATCAGAAATTACTCTCAAGTCTCCAACTCTCTAAATAATTTTTAAAAGTTTTGAAAAACAAAAAAACAATTTTTGGAAAGATTGGAATTGTTCCAATTCTTTCCTAAGGCACCGGCCTCCCAAACAGAAAGTAGACAGCTTTGCTACTAAATCAGTAACTAAATCTATACACACTGACATATAGTTCCCAATTGTTCTCATGTCTGTGTGCATATGCAGAAATGAACAGTAAAAAATTTGGTTACAATTTGGTTACATCCTAATTAAGAGCATTTTTTCAAGATTAATAGTATTTACTTTTTTTCAATTTACTGGCTAGTTTTGTCTTTTTGATTAAGTAAGAGTATTGGTACACTATCAGTATGATTGACAACTGTCATGATCAAAGAACAATTAAACATAAAGGGTGGAGCAATAATTGGAATTGTATGTAGACCCCTCCTTTTAGTGCCAATCACAATTGACCAAATTACCTAACTTGAGTTTATAAATAACATGACAGACCACACAATACACAATAACTTGACCTCATTAGTATTAGATAGATGTGTGATCTATATAGGTCAGTGTCATTAGGTGGTCTCTGTCTTCATGTGTAATTGATACATTTGTACATATGGTTAACATGAATATTAAATGTGCATTTCTTTAATAAAATTGAATATAGATGACAGATTTTAATCATTAACCTTTATATAACTTTTGATTTACACTGCATTAAACAAAAAAATAAGATGAATGTAAAGGGAGATAAAAAAGGACGTAGTTTCAAGTCTCTATGTCCATTGGTCCCAGGTTTAATGAGAAACTACAATTTTTTTTTTATTAGGTAATTTCTTCTGCAATTTAAAAGAAATTATTATGCAAATTAGTGACCAACTGACATTGACCTCTATTAAGCTATTTTATGCACCGAAAAATTGATTATCTTTCTAAAAAAATCTGAAGCAATGTAACTAACAAATATGCAATAGTGCTATAGCAAGTTTTTCTTGTCCAGCACCAATGCTATGGAAGAGCAATTATATATGATTGAAATTATACACACAATTCTTCCAATCTTTCCATCAGTGATTTCAGATCACTTTGATTTTGTTTAGTTATTGACTTTGTACAGATAAAATATGTGCAACGCGGGGGAGATTGGAACTCTGTTCTTTTATTTTAATAAAAAATGAATATATTACACATGAAAATTTATGTAAATGTTTAATTTCATATTGCTGTGGATCAGTAATAATCATTACATATTAAATATCATGTTGAAACTTGGACCAGTAATAATATCATTATATTGTAAATATCATGTTCCGAATTGTATTACACACAAAAATGTAGTAATGATTGTAGTATTGGTATAACAACTTTTTGAACCTTGGTTCAGAAATTAGTATTGAATTGTAAATATCATTTTGAAACTTAGATTATTAATACTCATTATTTTGAAAAGCCTTTGTTCAAACATAATTATCATCATTGCATTGTATGTTTTATTTTCTGTTCTAGTCGATTTTCAAAAATGTTGTAAGAATATAGAATAAAATGATAAAAGATGTAAGGTTTATGTCAATAAGACAGCATTCCAACAATGCAAATAAAACACATCTAGATTTCAACAAACTTGATGTCAAGCTCTTGTTCTAAAACATTGCTTAAGTTTCGTATTCATTTAAAAAAAAACAGAATATGTATATATGATCTAAGGGACTTTCCGTTTTGAATTTTTCTTGGAGTTCTGAAGTTTTTGTTATTTTACTTTTTTCTATACTGACATAGAAAAACCGGGCGTCATCCGTCTGGTATTGTTAGTTCTCTCATGTGTTCGATTTTTGCCAATTTTTATGAAACTTATATCATAGGTTTTAATCAGCAATATCTCGAACAAGTTAGAAAATCAGTACCGATCAATTATTTTTAAAAGTGTTAATTATATCAACGGTTTATGTCAGTAATGTCTATGACAAATTCTATGTTGGGAGAATTTTAACTTGTTTTAGGGTTAACTAGATAACTTTTATGCCCACCATTGTGACCAAATTACATGTTCATTCTGTTTTTGGCTGTTTCCAATAACTAAATTTCAGACTGATAAATTGTATAAATATCATCAGATTACAAGATTCTTCAAGGCCGTAACTAGGCATATTATTTTAGTGAAGCAGAACTGTTTCGCCAATTGGAGCGAGGCGAAAAATTTTGGCAGGGGATCTGGGATAGATTGTGTAAAA